GCGTCTGAAACTTGTTTTCAATCGCTTTTGAACAAGTATTCAGTACTTTAACTTGAGACATTGAAATGAAATATACTCTATTTATTTACATGTTTCAAGAATATTATTTTACTGCTGTATACATTATTAGTAGGGTGTCGTAAGAGCCGACTAAGGAAATAAACTGCACAAGCCAACAGCACTGTAAAAAGAAGAAAGACTTGAAACAAATCCTATACCAACTCGTCTGGCCACCGTGGCATAGTAGGCCAAAACCTCCTTTCTAAGGAGAGGCCTTTTTTTTTTTTTTTTTTTTTTTTCCGTGCGGAAATCCCCTCGGATACCACCTGTCGGTGGCATGTCGGACTCGAACCGACTAAAACCGCACGCCTTCGCCGGGTACTAATAGCCGGGGAACCAGGTATACCCTAGAAAGGAAGGCCCTGGTGCCCCGACATACCTCGGGTCATCTACAGACGAGTAGACGACCCCCGCCCCGTGTGGGAACCCCATGTTCCCTGTGCTCCCTGGAAGCGAGCGCGCTTCGCAACGCGCTCGCCGCCACCCCGGCCTGCTTCTGCTAGGGTGACAGATGGCCTCACCTGTCACCCCTAGGCCTGCGCTTATGGAGGACGGATGCGTTCTGCGACCTCCGGCGCCTGAGTCGCTTGCGCTGCCTGGCCCGTGCCCGGGCCTGGCGGGCCAGGAGAGTTCTAAACCTCTCCCGGTCCCGCTCCGCCGTCTCCTTCGCGAGCATAACTTGCTCGCAGAAGGAGACGGCAGAGTTCCACGCACTCTCGCTCCGCACGATAGCCGCAATCAGGCTATCGAGCGAGAGAACTCCCACTCCGATGGCCGCCACGAGGTCTCGCCTCTGCTCAACCCACGCCGGGCACTCTGCCAGCGTGTGGAGAGCCGTGTCCACGGTCTGGCCATCGCAGTGGTGGCACTCAGGCGTTGGCTCCTTGCGGATCAGACACAGGTGATCTCCGAAACATCCCTTCCCAGTGATCACCTGCGTCAATCGGTATGAGAGGGTCCCGTGACGCCTCTCGAGCCAATCCTCCATAACGGGTCTTACCGCCGCAATGACGGCGTGCCCATCTAAGGAGAGGCCTATGTTCAGCAGTGGACTATTATAGGCTGTTGATGTGATGTGCTGTTGTATATATTTTAAGACATGTTTTAAACATATAATGTTTTACGACAAGTACATATATTTTCCCACTTCTAGAATGATTGACGGTTAAGTATTGTATTTATGTATAAATGTACTAAGGCAAGTACAACTGTGTGCACTTATCAAAACATAGCACAAGTGTATGAGTCGCTGTAACCACGAAACTAAGAGAAAATTAACTAAAGCATTAAAATACTGTCAAACAACCATACTTCCATACTTACTTACTTCCATACTTATATTATAAATGTGAAAGTGAGTTTGTTTGTTTTTTCGTTTGTTTGTTTGTTATGCTTTAACGCCTAAACCACTAAACCGATTCTGAAGAATTATTCCACCAATGGACAGCTTCATTATCAACGAGTAACATAGGCTACTTTTTACCGTTTACAGTCGTGTGCTAGTATTAGATAAACCCTTATTAATCGCTTTTGTTTTTATATATTACGTTACTTTAATCGCCAAGGCTGTGACCTATATACATGTTCTGTGGGGGGTTCCACAGACAAACATACTTAAGTAGAACAGTATATAAAGATTTGCAGGGTAGTTGGCATTAAACTTACGCATCAATGGCTCTGAAAGTAAGATGATAATTTTGTTGATAAAAACATTAACAAGAAATTTACGCTTTACCTTAATATTTTAATAATAATAACCTCACACATCTCGCACACGGCTGTCTGATCCTAAACTAGGCAGAGACTGTACTATGGTAACCAGCCTGCTCATAAACATACTTATCTATTTCTAAATACATACATATTATAGAGAAAGAAACAATAGAACATATGACAACTGATAAATTAATATGATATGACATAATGACACGAACTTTGGTCTTTCGAACTTCCATTTTCAACTTTCTACGCTGTGGCAAACTAGCTCACATTTGATTAAAATTTACTAAAGCGAATTCGTGACTGATGACCATCCGATGAATTCACACGAGACGTACATGTATTACCAGTAATACTGAACTGATTCAGAGATCGTGCTGAGAGATAAAGTTATCTCTGGACTCGGTATAGTGACGGATTTCCACTCTTTACACAAGACCTTTTACAATCAACGATACGATCTCGATTCTGCATGTTGTCATACGTTGAATTCGATTTTTTTATACAATTTTCAAGAGATCCGTGATGGTTGGTAGGTATAGTAAATCAATAATAATTGTAGTGTATGATGTATTTTCAGAAAGTAAGACAAGGAGAATGGCATAACTTGTCATTCTTCTTATAATATAACGTTGAAAGTTTCGAGAATCGAATGTTTCGATGAGTGATCGAGAATTAATGAACCACTAAATAGGAAACATTAGTTAATTTAATTTTCCAGTTTGAACGCCATTTTTATGCGGGCTATGAAGAAACTTATTTGAAGTATCTGGTTTAAGATATTTATTTCTCAAAGTAAGATTCACTAATTTTGAGAAATACATAACTTCTAATAATAACTTGACATGTCTCATACGGCAGTCTGGTCCCAAACTAGACAGAGCCTGTATTATGGTAACTAATCTGGTGATAAATACACTTATATATTTGTCCTGTGTGGGAATCGAATCCACGACCTCCGATATAGCAGTCAGGGTAACTAACCACTAGAGCAACAGGCCCGTCAAATTATGACCTTAATAGTAAGCTTATATTAATAAGGCCGGTGATGCTCTTATGATTCTTGGGCTGCAGGCATGGGCGACGGTAACCACTTACCAACAAGTGACCCGTCTCCTTGTTTGCCGCCTATATCATACATAAATTATAGTTTAAAAAACTAAAAACACGCGTTTGTAATTAGTCGAACTAAAAACTAGAAAATAATTGTCGTCGTTAATTGTAAAAAGGCGTGAGGCGCTATATCTTAATTGTTGTAAAAATATTTTATTATAAATAGATTTTACAAGATATCTTGAAAAGCACCCCCCGTTTTTTTTTTCTACTTTTTAGTTCGTTTAGTTACAAAAGCGTGTTTTTTTGTTATTTAAACTATAATTTATTTTTGTTTTTTTAATAATTAATGATGATTATTTTCTCATTAAGGCTAGACAAGTAATAAGTAAGTAAGTCACATTTGATTCAACACACGCCTCTGAGTAAGTTGCAAAACACACAACCGTATTTTTAGGTATGGAAAAGCCGTTAATCCTGAAGATCCTAATCAGGATAATCGGCCAATTTTATCAGATTATTATATTGTCATCGGTCCTTAATAAGTGTGCGAAGTTTCAAATTAATTCTATGTTTTGAAGTGTTAAACATACCGAGCTAATAAAAGCGGGTTAAAAAAGCTCATAATAGCATTCTGTACTACAAATCTCTGTGCTGTCTTATAATAAAATTGAAAATCGTATCGTGTCAGGCGTCGTTATCGTGTCGTATAGTGTACATTTACAAGTTGTAAAGCACTATATCCTACCATTTCTACTTTAATTAATGGACTGCGAAGATTTATTAACACATGTATATTACTTGACTTCCTTTTAAGCTAAAACACGAAAATGGGATATATACGGAGTCATTTCCTGCACTTTAAATGTAGTTCTTTTTATATAACCAATTGTAAACTGTAGGAGAATAACTCATTTTAAAAATTCATCTGCTAAATATACCACATATAGGCAAATATATTCTGAATTTGAATGCGATTTGAGTAAGATGCAATAGAGCTTCGTTACCACGTTTATTAATTTTTAAAGACGCGATTTAATAAAAATCATCATCATCATTTAGCATATGTTTTTTTTTATATTGTACCACATTCACACAACGCCATCTAGTCCCAAACTAAGCAGAGCTTGTACTATGGCTACTAGACAACTGATATAAATACATATATACGTTTTTTTTTTGTAAATACATACATATTATACATAGAAACGCCCAGACCAAATCAAACATTAAAAGTTCATGCACACAAGTCAAACGACTTGAGGGGGAATCGAAACCGCGACCTTCGGAATAGCAGTGCGTTACACAAACCACTACGCCATTCGGTCGTCAATTACATTACCGATTACATCCTATATATTAGTATCGATTACATCCAAATTTGTTAGTACCATTCGGGCTTTCGAACTACTGTTAGTCCTAAATTTGACGTCTTCTTCTTCCTAGTCTTTCTCTTACTGCTGAGGATCCTATCTCCCTTTATTAAAGTGAAACTATATAAATAGAACTGTGTCACAAGGGATGATGAAATCGCCTCCCCCATAGATGAACCTTAGGAGATTGATAACAATTAAGTGGTTTTGTGGTAAGTGAATTACCATATGTGGGTTTTGATATAAACATTTGATCGTTGACACAATGGCACTTTACTAGGTAGCCACTGTGGCGTTACGTTATTACTGTATAGTCTATACAGTAATAACGTAACGTAACGTAACGTAACTGTGTAGCCGCCACAGTGGCTGTGAGACAGTTATATTTGTATACTTTAACTTGAATAATAAAGTCAGTCATATTAAAAGCTGATTGGTATGAATACCACCCAGTTTTTACTATAAGTGACTTCTTTGTTAAAATCAAAATACACATATAAAAGTCATGATATGAAATCAATTTTATAACCGACTTAAATATTGCCTTTTCTTTTCTTCGAATGTCTAAACGTAAGTTTTGTAGATTAATGTGAAAATAACAGGCTGATAGTCAAAAATATAAAATTGCAATCGTCAAAACATTTATTTGACTAAAATCACTTAAAACGAATGTATTTTCTTGACAGATCGTACCGAAAAATAAAACAATACAACAGACATCGGGTACTCTCAAGAAAACTATGCATCTGAAAGCCATCAAAACACTTATAACTTGGTTCTATTTATGTAGTCCATCTATTTTATTTCCACTGTTGTATCTCCATTTACAACATAACTGTTCGCTACCATAATGAAATAAAAATACACTGAAAACAAAACAAAAATTTGTAAGCAGTAAAATTTAGTCAGTTTACGGTTCTGTTCTAATGGTTTTATCGATCACAGGTCGGATATAGTCGGTTTTTCGTTTGCCGACTGGTACAGTATTACAAAGTACCTGTGATTTTAATTATCTTTAACTAGAACAATTGTAAATTAATGAAGGATAGTTTGAAACAACAATAATAATAAGTGAACAAACGAAATTAATTTCAAAGAGAAAGAATATGGGATGAGTAGCTCTCGGAAACTTTTAACATTGCGTGTTGTCTTGTACCCGACGCTAAATTCTTTATTATTATTCAAAATCCTTTATTTTAACCTCAAAAAGCAAGCACAATATTATGCTATACACTTGTTGAGTTTTAAAATACACATTATACCCATTCATATCATGGAAACCAGCTATTCAGTGACCTTTAGATAAATAGATTTGTACTCCTTTTACACACCATGATTAGGCAACATACAATGTAGAATACCAACAAAAAAACAGTGATACAATGCGTGGCCTTATCTTTAAGGAACTTTAGGACCTTTGTTACTTAGACATAAAGTTATTTAAGTAGGAACTATAATCTTTTAAATCTGGAAATATTTAAATGCCTTAATTCAAGTTAATTAGTACACATTTAAGTTACAATTAAGTTGAATTTGCATAAATAATAACAAGGACTACTGTGCCCCCTTTTTTTTTCTTTTTTTTTTTTTTTCCGTGCGGATATCCCCTCGGATACCACCTGTCGGTGGCATGTCGGACTCGAACCGACTAAAACCGCACGCCGTCTCGGGTACTAATAGCCGGGGAACACTGCTGTGCCCCCTAAATTATAACTAAAAACCATCTCGATCACGACAGCTTTCAGTCACAAAAACACAGCATCAAAATCGGTCCATTCGTAAACAGCTGCGATGGCAGAGACAGACCGACACGTCAAACTAATAACACCTCCCTTTCCGCATCGGCTATTAAAAAATAATACTTACATGCATAATAAAAGAAGCAGGTTACAATAAATACAGCACTTTCCAACCAGTCCATGTTCAGAAGGCAACGTGTTTCCTTTAAGGTGCAATGCACACCCATTGCAAGTAACGCCACAGTACCAAAGATTATATTGAGCAGTGTTAGCCACACAAAGACCTGAGCAAACCCACTTTCATCCTGGAAAAGAGAGGGCAATTATTTTCTTCTCTTTTAATTATGACACACTACCTGGTACCCGCGGCTTCATTCGCGTAAAATTTAAAAAGGTCTGCCTTAGTAGTATAGGAGACTTCCGTTAACGTGGCCTCGGGTTCGATTTCTGGACCGGGTAAAATTTTATAGGGTTTTCTGAGAGAAAAAATAGCTTACTTAAAATTAAAAAATTACTCCTTATAATTAGATTTTAAACATACTCGTAGGTATCGTGGAAATAACTGGTATTAAAATATTATCAAAATATCTATTCCATTATAAACAATAAATGAGGCAAACCAGCATAGTCCAGCGTATGACGGCAAAAATAGGGTAAGTATTTATTGTAAATTATGGATGAGGGGGCAAACGAGCTGACTGGTCACCTGATAGAAAGCGGCTACCGCCGCCAATGAACGCCTGCAGCTCAGGAGTCACAAGCGCGTTGCCGGCGGTTGAGGGGGAAGTACGCTCTTTCCTTGAAGGTTTGGAGGTCGTATCGTTCCAGTAATACCGCAGACGATAACTTATTCCACAGATTGGTTGTGCGAAGCAAAAAGTGTCTTAAAAAGCGCACAGTAGTGGAGCGCCAGTTATCCAAGTGGCAGGGATAAAAGTTTTTTATTAGTCCGAACAATTCCTCCGAGCACTCTCCATGGTATATATGATAGACACTGTAGAATGAAGCTTCATTTCTACCTCTACGTAACGCCAAGGGAGCGAGCTGATCGGAGATCTTCAATTTGGATCGCTCTTCGTTGGTTACAGTCCAGAGGGAGAAGCTGGTGCTGGGGTGGCCCTGCAGAGAGATGAGAAGAGTATTCCATATGCGACAGGACTTGCGCCTTATAGAGTTGGAGGATTTGGACCGGAGTGAAGTACTGCCTCCATCTGTTCAGCACAACGAGCTTCTTCTTTGCCAAGTTGACCTTACCCTCTAAGTGATTAAAGTGCCAACTCTGGAGTGCATATCCATATCCAGCATGATAGGAGAGATTCCATAGGGCCCACTTGATTTATGAATATCGAGGGAAAAGAGTGTTTTACGAACTGATTCAAGAGTCAACTGGGTTGCCAGCATACAGCTCGCCTAGGAGATCGGATTTCTCCTTTCGCCCATCTGCAGAGGTAAAAGGGATTGGCACAGAAATTCCCCTGTACAGCCTTAGCAAGGGACTGGAATGCAAGAGTTCAAGAAGGAAGTCTCAACTATCTCTTACTAATCCGGCTGATATGCTCCGATTTTGCTCTGGCAATGTCTCTTTTGAGGGACCTGGAGGCAAAGTTGTATTGCTTTTAAATAGATCCCAATTAATCCACGTCATCGGACAGTTATCCCTTAAAATTTGGAATCAAGCTCTACTTGCTGTCCACTTCATAATCTCTTAGGGGTGAAAACTACCCCCATTTGCCAAAAATTGATGAAATCATAAATTTAGGTATTAAACAAATGAAAAAGTTCGAAACACTATTAGTAAGTTTCAACCCCTATTTTGTCCATTAAATTGAAAAGCATTTTTGTAATTTTTAATTTTTTGTTTAGATAAATTAGTATTTTTAAATCGTATACAACTTAAGAAAATTATTATACTTAGTTTTCATCAACTAAAAACCAACCCTTATCATTGTTAAATAAAAAAATATTCAAAAAACATTTGTAAAATGCTTCAATAACACAATTATTATTTTTTTGAGTTTATTATCTCATAATATTTATTAAATATTTATTAAAATTATTACGAAGTTAGATCCCGGTATTTTTTTTTAGTATACGCATTTCTCTGCTCCAAATCTAGCTTTTCCGAAATTTTTAAAAAGGCAGTTGGTTTTTTGATATTTTCTCGGTTGCATTTTGGACTAGAGAATTTTATAGCCTATGTAAGTATCATATTTCTCAAACCCTTTATTTTATAAAGAAATTGACATTTTCGATCACGAATATCTCAAAACTATTGATTTTTCCAAAACTAATATAGAACATTTTTAGCTTAGCTTTCTTCTATTGATTCCTGGGGTTTTTTGTAATTACCACTCCCTAGTTTGGGTGGTCACTCCTAGTGAAAAAGCACATATCGGCATAGGGTAGATTTTACTTTTTGAGGGATATACCTTTCTGAGTATATACTTACTGTCAAACAGTGCTTTGCCACCCTTTGAAGCAGTCTCCAGAATTGTCCAGAAGAACTCCTCTCCCTCCAGTAACTTTGCTTACTCGGTTAAAAGAAACGAGAAAATTGCATAACACCGGTTTTCTTAAAGTTAGTAATAATGTTTATTATTACATTATCCTGAATTATCCATACAAATAAATAAATTTGAAGTGTCTGTTTGTAATGTCAAAATAATAAGTGTTTTTCATGTTCACATGGATATTTGCACGATATCTATGCCTAAAAACCAGTGTAAAACTTTTTAACTGTCTGTTTGTTCCGGGTAATCTTCTAAACGATTAGACCAATTTTGATAATTTTATCCTACCAGGTAGCTGTGTATATAAAGAATAACAGCCTATTTTTCCTCTCAGAAAAACTTTATAAAATTTTGCCCGATCCGGCCATCAAACCCACTAAGGCAGAGCTTTTCAAATTAAACGCGAACGGAGTTGCGGGTACCAGCGAGTCCTGAATAAGCTGAGCGGAGTTACTAGTAAAACTTAACAGTTGAGACCGCGTCTCGGCAAAGCAATAAACTGCGATGGACTGGTGATGATGATGAATAGTGCATTAAATACTTACGATTAAATCAGCTACAAGTAGGAAAAAACCGGCGATAACGAAGGCGAATCCATGAATAGTCAGCGCAGTTATCACGAAATCGAGAAGATGTCTATATAAGAACAGTAAGTCCGTATTTTCCACTGTGGACAAGATCTAATTATCAGACACGATAAAATAGAACAACTAATAAAATAACATCTTCGAGAAAGGTGATACTTGGTACTATTACGTAGTAATTATGTATTTTACATGTACATATGTGTGTGTGTATTATACATGGTTAGGGTTCCGTACCTCAAAAGGTAAAAAAGGAACCCTTTTAAGAACCATTTCTTGTCCGTCTGTCCGTGTGTCACCAACGATTTTCTCAGGAACCGGTAGACATAGCAAATTGAAATTTATACCAGATACTTGCGTCTATGGTCCCTATTAGGTGTATAAAAATCAAGGTCCTGAGTTAACACGATAAAAAGATATTGGCAAATTTCGATGTTCGCGAAAACTTGTAAGTACCAAAATTTACCTTAATTTTCTCGAAAATCTACGTAAAATCTGGGTAGGTACGAAAGGTAGGTACGAGTTCGACTCGTACCTGACTGGTTTTTTTTAAATAATATTGAGGGCAATCGTGTAGGCGGGTCTCCTGATCTTGAGTAACTACCGCTACCCATGGACACTTCCGACTTAATCAACTTTTGATCGTAACTCGTACCATTCGATCAAACCAAAAATCTTAAATGAAATGGAAAGAGCGTACTCCTTCCTCAAACGCCGGCAACGCGCTTCTTGTGACTGAGTTGCAGGCGTTTATGGGCGGCAATAGTCGCTTTCCATCAGGTGACCCGTCTGCTCGTTTGCCCTCTTCCATAAAAAAATCTCGGAACAATAGATAGTACTGTGCCCACCTCTAACGGTAATTCTAAATGGGTGTAATTGGAAGTTTTTTTTTCTTTTTTAAAAAGACAACTCCCGCATTAGAAATATATCCTGTGTCCGCGACACAGGATATATATATTCAGGATATATTATAGGGGCTTTACGAACATACATGAAACGGACACAAAGAACATCCAGACTCAGAACAACAATTTGTAGATCAAACAAAGTGTCGTCCCATGTGAGGTTTGAACCCACAAGACTCGGCGCAGTAGGAAGCGGCGTGGCGACCGCTTAAACCACTATGCCATCCGTGTTATTGACATTTGTGTCACTTATTACTAATTGAAAATATTACGATTGGATTGGTCGCAATGTTGTGGTACTCGAATTAATCAAAAAAATCAAATTACCAACAATGGAGCCTGCCTGTATCATTGTGGTAGATTGCTCGTAAGAAGCCTCGGCATCGTTCTCTAAACCGCTAAGAATTGCACCCCCAGTCATCTGCCAGCAAGAAATATAATTTATCAAGCACACTATGTTTATGAATAAATAAAGTAAGTAAATATTAAATAAAATTAAATCCCCTTGCCACATTGTCTTGGCAAGAGGGTTTAACTTATTTATTTGATAATCTATGCAAAAATGAGATTACATAATCGTCGACTTAATGCCACAGGTATTTTCTTTCAGGCTACCTTAGGGTGGTACAAACATGATAAATGTACCTATTAAGATTTGAGATTTTGAGGTAAAATGCCTATTGACTCAGTAAATTTCCTATTATTCCAAGCTCCCTAACTGTGATTGTATTGAGAATCATCTGGTCATGGTGGTAGACTGGGGTGGTAATAGTGGCAAAGAGACACTTTGATTTTTCATATTTTTTGTTTGTCAAGAAACCTTCACTTATATATACATAAACGTATTCACACTTTGCTACAAACGTAATAATTACATTTACGATGAGATGCGAGCCTTTAAAATTCAGGATACTGCTGTAATTTGCTACAGCATTTACAATCTTCATATGTAAAACAAAATTCATTAAGTTATTGACGATACCACAAAAAAAACTATCGAAAAAATTTATGATGATATTCCGGAATGGAAATAAAATGTGCAGCAATGATTGGATCAACATAAAACTAAAACAATAAAAGCCCGTTCTAAAGTGTGAGGCGGACTAGCGCACGAAGGATCCGTACAATAAATAAAGGTCACCTACGTAGAAAAAACGCTACAAAATCACGCTTTTTGTTTTGATTTTCATAGGCATTCTTTTGGTATAAACCCGAAAAGGGTGAATGAAATATACAGAAATTTATTCAACAAAAGAAGCCAACGAAATTTAAGAGATAATCCCAAAGAGCAGACCTTCGGCGGCCTTAGCGCGTTGGATCTTCAGTTTCTCAATGACTTTGTTATAAGGGCATCTTATCCAGACCACGTTTCTAGGTTCGTTATCATAATAAACTAGCTACTGTCCGCGGCTCCGCTCGCTTGATTTTTCTTATTTAGTTTTTTTTTTAAGTAATAATATGTGTCACGGGGGACTTTATAAACATCTATGAAACGGAAACAAAGAACACCGACAAAACAATCACACAAAGTGTTGTCCGATATGAATCGAACCAACAACACTCAGTACAGTAGAAAGCGGCGAGTAGTAAACTACTACGCCATGCATGCAGTGCAGTGTGAAAATGACAAACTTTCATAAAACCAATGGGGGTCAAAAAACGGATCCAGCATCCGTTTTTTGACCCCCATTAGGTGCTTACAACGTTTTCGTTTGAAAAAAAGATTAAGCAAAAGCTTTAGGAAAATATCCTATGTCGCGAGGGACTTTACAAACATACATGAAATGGACACAAAGAACACCCTCACAACAATTTGTGAATTACACAAAGTGTCGTCCCATGTGGCGATCGGACCCACAACACTCAGCGTAGGAGTAAGCAGCGTGGCGACCGCTTAAACCATTACGCCATCCGTGCAGTCAGCGTAACGTAAGTCCGTCAACGTATAAAGTATGAGCAGAAAAATAACAACTTTTATCCGCAGCGGTTTAGACACTTCGTTGATGAGTTAGTCACTCATTTAGGGCAAGTAATTTGTATATGAATGCGTGAAGCGCAAACTTTGCACCTCTTGTTATGAAATTTGCGCGAACGGATGAACTTGAAATTTGACACAGTTAAAGTTTATATGGAGAAAAGTACATAAAGCTATTTTTTTTTAAATGTGTTAGAAATACATTATTGCCATGATGAAACCTTTGGTTATAGAGGTGTTTGACAAAATAACCCTAATAAAGTTCTAACTTGAAACATAAATGAATTCTGGTCAAATTTCGACCACTGGGCGTCCACTAGTTTTACATAAATAGATAATGGACTTACTATGCTTGCAACGGCAATAAAAAGAATTCCAACACGTAATGAGCAAAAATAACAACAATAATTCACTTCAGGAAATATTTCACACATGATTGTTGTTTCTTAATATAATTTATAATAGCAAAAAATATATTTACATTTTAATTTGACATTGCCGGAAATTTGACAAGTTATTGAATTAAATTTAGGATAAAGCTTTTAATAAAACAACTCCATCGTTTGGAGATCAACGATTCTGCCGAAAAGGCAGAATGATCTACAAAATAAAGTTTACTATACGCAAGTACGTTCCACATGACTGGATGAAAATATGGAATCCTACCAAAAACATTTTCATGTAAAATGTTGCCAAGACGAGACTATATGGCTCGCACTGTCAAAAAGTTATCAGATCTCATGTGGAGCCAAACTTCTAACTCTACACGCCCTAACTCTGCAAGCCCTAACTTCACAAAATCTACACCTTAGTCAAATTGTGGCTTGGCAGTTTCATTACTATAAGAACTGTTGTATAACAGAAAAAAAAACAGTAAATAAATTTTCAACTCCTACTAGCGAAATAAATTTTTCACTTTATATAACGATATTTTACACCGCGATTATTCGCAAATTTCTGTGACACATAGGACTATAGCGGAAAAAAAATATTTTTTTTAAATATGATGAAATATAAATCTGTGATTTGATACAAAATGACCGCGATACGGTGGCGATTTATTTCCACAGGCCACATGTTTTTAATAGTGTAGTGTAATAAAGTAATATAATAAGCTAGTACTTATTAGAATACAGACAAAATGTTTCGGGTTTAAACCATGTGGACTGTAAAGCATGTGGACTGGCCTCACCAGAGTAATACCATACCCTCACAACAAAACGGTATTAAGAAATCCTTTCGCTGCTTTTCACCTAGTGAGTTTTTTTTTATGTTAGTGGTGGCAGGCTAGCAGACAGGTCACCTGATGGCAAGTGACCACCGCCGCTCATGAACGTACCGGATATGTTACCGGATCCCCAAAATCTCGTCCCTCTTTAACTGTAAGGAGGACTACTCAAGGGTACACTTGTGTCTCTTGATTTGTATATGTCCATGGCAGGTGGTGGCCACTTACCATAACATAATCTATCTGCTCGTTAATCCCCAGTAATATAAAACATAAAAAAAAAACATTATCGATAACACCCAAAGATATTAAACTAAATCAAAATCCGAATTCCTTCAACATACATTCATCATAGGATCTTTTTTTTTTAAACGCCTCTATGTTGTACAGTTTTGCGAGCCATGTAAGTCATCAATCACAGGGCTTTTACGGTTGGCAAATGAATATAGCGGTCTTATATAGACACGTATATAGCCTCGGTATATCACGATATATTAAAGAAAAATCTCAGTAGAATTTAAGAGTAACCGACTGTCCCAAATGGATGGTTTACTTATAGTTACAGCGTATAACAGAAAACGTACTCTAGTACTCAAAAATCAGTCGATTTACATTATTTATACCAGGTCTAAGACTGAATTTTGAAATTTGTTTACATAAAACAAATCTCAAAATTCAATTTTAGTGAAAATATAATTGTCTTCTAGAAAGAAACTTATGTATGTATAATAACTCTAAAAACAATACTATGATTCGGCATCTTGGAATCATTTTTGTTTATGTGTATTAGTGATTTATCCGTGTAGTGACGGATTAAGAATACAGAGTGTCACCACCCCTATTCATCCTGTGGGTGTCGTAAGAGCCGACTCAAAGGGAGCACCCGAAGGGAACAAACTACGCAGGACAACAACATTCCAAGGAAGGAAAACTTGAAACAAAGCCTACACCAACCTGTCTGGTTAGTGGTCAGTAGTGAAGGTGAGGCCGAGGTACCACTTCAGTGGAACCAGCTGATATGCACCTAAGTATTCCTCTCCCACAGCTGCTAATTCAACCAGGGCAACGGATAATGGAATTCTTCAGTAACTGCTAGTAAAGGACACGAAATTGGGCGCATAGAAGTCTTTTGAGGGTCTTTTGAGTCCAAGAGGGTTAGTAATGAGCGTCCTGCTCATTACGCTTCTTTTCCTTTAAAACGACAACTCCCGCACTAGAAATATATCTTTAGGGAATTTGCAAACATACAAGAAACGGACACAAAGAGCACCCAGACACAGAACAACAATTTGTGAATCACACAAAGTGTTGTCCCATGTGGAGATCGAATCGAAAACACTCAGCGCAGTATGAAGAGGCGAGGTGGCTGCTTAAACCAGTACGCCAACCGTGCAGTCGTACGTCGATAATGAGTGTCGATAATAGTACCCTTTTTTATATTGATTTTACTTATAAACTTTCTGCATTTAAAGGAAGGAATCAAGGGAACAACTCAATAGTTTTTTCTAAACATGAAGGTAGTAAAGATTCTAAGGTTGCCTGGAAGAGATTGCTCTTTGTACATCACATGTCTCTCAAGTTTATATTTGTAAAACGAAATACAAATAAAGAGTTTTCTATCTATCTTTCTAAAAAAACATTGAACCCACTTGTTCTTACCTCACATCACTTTTGTAATGTCAATAAGCAGCGATTCTTATGAAATTTAACAACATCATCGTTTACGTAATATACATCCGAAAACTGTTTACGATAACCAACATGTACGCTATCACTGAAACAAAACAATTGTTCTTACATTGTTCTTGAAAACAAAAAAGCATTTTTACATTTGAACAATTTAACATTGTAATAATTTCTTTTTTTTCTATAACTTATATCGCTAGTGACGAGAAGGATCTTTTAGATCAATTTAAATGATGTTGTTTCTTGTGGAAGTAGATCGGAACTTTTGTAGCCTAATTTTTCATGCTTTGAATTTTGATAGGACTAATACAAAAGAATTTGAATACTAAACATTCTCCAAACTTTTAAGTTATATTAAGAAACAAGATTACCAGCGTATGCCACCAAACTCAGGATTAGTTGAACAATGACTTTTACCAAGTATGTGTCAAACCCAAAGCAGAAAAATGTGATACAATAAATGAAATGTAGAACTGTCGACGTCATTGTGACGTAGATATACATTTGTAGAAACAAGTCAATATTACATTTCTGAAACATAAGAAAAGGTAAAAGGCAGTAAGTTAAAATCTATGAGTTAGGTCAAATGCATCAAAGTCGTAGACATAGGAGTAATCCTCTGGGGAATAAGTTTGAGAAAAATTCAGTTTCATGAACATTTTATCGTATATAAACGTAAAAAAGGTAAACAAAGCCGGCAACCCATCTATCGCATTGACTTTTAAGTTTCAGGCGTTCATGGGCGGCGGTAGTCACTTTCCATCACCCGTCTGCTCGTCTGCCTCTATATTTTTAATTTTTTATACCTAAAATATTTCTTAGTAATCTCCTTGAATTTAAAGTAGTCCTCATACCTTTTTTAAATAAGACAATAAAAAAAAATCCATTTACTTAAAAGACTTATGAGCATACTGATATCATTTGTATAACGTCACATCTTAAATAACTTACGTATTATGGAACTTTTTTCGATATTAAATTGCTTTCTTTCTTTTCGATATTAAAGCTCTTGCCATTGCTTATTCAGTTACCTTGATGAGGATTCTGCTTCATTTAAATCTTGAGCAACTTTTGATAATAATGAAAACTTACCAATACAACACCTGACCAAGAACTGATGAGAATAAAGGTAGATATAATTCGTATCATCATGATAGCCTTCAAACAATTAACGAAAACAACTTCTTCGTCTATATCTCCCACTATGAGTTCGACGTGCGCAAAGATTGCAGACGAAAGCAGCTGCAAATATCAAAGTCTTTAAACAGTAGTAATTAGAAAAAGTTTTTTGAAGCGCTGAATGTTTTCTGAAATGTTGTCCTACAGTATAAATTACACATCACCAAGTAGGTATTGACCGAGTAGGTGTTATATTTACCATAAACACAAACAAACTCGTGTTTACCCACGCCATGGAGCTTATTCACCAGCGTTTGTGTAATCGCCGTTTACCATAGCGTGGAAAAAGTTATCTGGAGAAACTCTAATTTGATAAATGAACCTTGATTTTCAAAGTTGGCTTTTCTTGTTTTTGTCCTTATCTTTTACAAATACTCCAGAAACAAAATCACACTCATCTATTCAAAATTTGAAATTCTTACTCATCTATTCAAAATTTGAAATTCTTATGATATCTCTACTTTATTATATTGTTTGTTGCCTTACAACAAGAATACATCAAATTAATAAACATGGACAAAGGGCGGTTTTATCCCTAAAAACCAACTTCTTACAGGCAACCTTTGGATGGAAAAATCTACTACAAATAAACAAATTCTTGAGTAGTGTTGGTGTGCAATTGAAATAGAATCATAAATGAATAGAGGTGTAGACACTCAGTATTCATATATATATATATATTTATATCTGTATTTGTTTAGCATACAGCATTTGATTTAGTTAAAATTAAGTATGTATTATGGGTTGTCGGCGGCAACGTATTCTTATTGAAACGTCAGTCACTATTATGAATGCTTGTCATGTGGTGCAGGTTTATGTCTAAGCGGATAAACGAACGGCAGGCAAGACCCGAGATATTTTGTAATGTTAGAGAAATATAGTACGTTTTGATACCATCAGTTTGGTTTATTCCCACATATTTTATTAATTTAGAATTTAAACACCGATAGAGTCAATACTATAGAAAAACACTTGCAACGCGCAATAATATTTCTTACGCTGATTGGATTATTTTTTGTGTTGGTAGGACACTTGTTTGGGTGTGATTAGTAGTTTTGATTACTTATATATGATTTGACACATGATCTGAAAATTAAAAAATTATGATGTGAAATACAAATGTGTACTTAGAAGTAAAATATCTATTAACAGTTTCTGCCAGTATTGAAGGCACGTGGCGCACTGGCTTGTTATGTTCTTTATCCAACAATGACACGTGTTGATTACTCGATCAGGTCCTCCAAAACATGTTCACTTCGAGATATCTATAAAGAACTTTTAATTGCACCATGCAGGACTAAATATAACTATGTAGTTCAGCTTGTCTTCGCTAGATGTCGTTGACTACGTTTCTATACTAATATTATAAAGATGAAGAGTTTGTTTATTCGTTTGGTTGAACGCGCTAGTCTCCGGAATTACTGGTTTGAATTGTTTTTTTTTTTGTATGGGATAGCTCATTTCGATATAACATCACGCTACGACTAATAGAAGCCGAGCAACAATAAAAGGTATTGCCATTTTTTGTTTGTTTTTTTTTAGAGACGCAGAGGAAGTCGTTTGGGTCAGCTAGTCTGGTATACATTCAATGATACTAATTTGACCTTCACTCACTCGTTAGTCGATTACATTTAATTATACTAATTTGACCTTCACTCACTCGTTAGTCGATTACATTTAATGATACTAATTTGACCTTAACTCATTCGTTAGTCGATTACATTTAATAATACTAATTTGACCTTCACTCGCTCGTTAGTCGATTCCATCGACTCGACATCCAGTCGATAGCTGTTACAGTTAGTTCTGCATTTGAGACATGGATTCTACATTTATAAAATTTATGGTTTATCTACAGGTCGTGCCCTTATCAACTTACCAACTCAAATATTGAAAACAAAACCACGCCCGCTTTAAGACTTAAGCATCGAAAGCATTTAGTGAATTGTGGCCATCTATTCAAACACATTATAAACACATTTTACCTATTTAATATAAATTATTTATATTATTCACATGTTAACACCAAAATAATTATACTTATCAAAACTTATCAACAAAATAAAGTCAATGTCAATGATATGTCAAGTCGATGTATAATTATGGACTAAGATTGTAGCTACTAAACCTCTTTTCTAAGGAGAGGCCTATGTCCAGCAGTGGACTAGTATAGGCTGTTGATGTGATGATTGTAGCTACAATTGTAGCAAAAAGGTTATTTATTACATTTTTTTAATTTTATAAACTCATAGTAGTTTCTTTAGATTAAAACTTTTTCCTTCCCCCACTGAAAAGGGCCGCGTTATTTCCATATAGATGTACGGAGTAATCGGGTGAAAACTAAACGGAAGTTAGTATCAAAACATTTTTTAAACTAAACTTCTGCTCTATTCAAATGACGTATATTAACTGTAGCCTCCGGCAAATACACGATCCTGTGTAACGAGACTCGTTGTAGCAGCAACAGGTTTGCCATCACTAAACAACTATGAAATTCGGACACGGCTCACTACACACGATTCGACAAGAGTTCCGCCCTATTGCTGTTAATATAAATTTCGTATTTATTGGTTTTCTAAAAAAATTCTTAAATAAAAGAACTGGACAGCTAATATCGGAAAAGTTTCGCCACAACGTGGGTAGGACCGTAAATAAGTAATCTTGTCAAGAGACTCTCTTCTATGCTTTAATCACTACCAATCAAATGTCAGATGCATTTGTATAAGCTTTGTAAAAAAGGCCGTGTGGTGTCGTGCGACACCCAATAAGAACGAAGTTCCTTATTTATACTATTCGACTAATATTTCATTTAGGTATAAACTTTAGTTACAGTATTTTTTTTTTAAAGACGCTTATTTTTTTTTCATATATAAAAAAAAACAATTGATTTGCAGCTAGGTGTTTAAATTCAAAATTCCAAAAATGGAATACCTCGAATACTATCTATTGTAGAGAAACAAGACTGGTCTCATTTTATCCCTCATCAAATTTTGTGAAAATCATACGCATCATATCTTAATCTTCCATGCGTTGTTTCCGAGCCATTAAATAAAAATTTAGGATTACTTTCCCTCTGTAGGCAGTGAATGCAGAGCGAAAGAGATAGCGACTAACGCTTTTTCGTACGTACGCTTTTACTCGTAAAATCCTTAGTACCACATCGTCCCATAAGAAACTTCGTTGCCAAAAATATGTGTGTAAACTTGATTGTGTTAGAAATAGGCGTTTCGCCCTTAACGCGGTGCGATGGTGACGCCTGCTCAAGTTCTCTTGTACGAAATGGCCTACTCATCTCACCATGTGACGTTCCACAAGAATGATAGCTATCACTCTTATTCCGACATAATGAATATTGTCTCAAGCCATATCACCAACTCTTATACGAACCTTGTCCTGGCAATTACGAATACAAAAAAAAGACGATCGAACCGTCCTCAAGTAACACTCGGTCATACTAAATGATGCTCAGATGATAGCTAGTTATTAAGTTATTGTAATGTTTAGTATAAGTAAACAAAATATTAAAATTACAAAAAAAAACAAAATTAAAATTAAATACATTTATTTTACGAAGCAATAAATATTTCCCACTCTTTGAAACCAAAGGACAGCGTTATATTCACTCAAATCACTAGATCACTGCTGGACAAGAATTGTAAGGACATTCGTAAGCTATTTGTCACTATTATAAAGTACAGAGTAACTGAAAGAAAAAAAGAAAATTACTAAAAGTAACCACTTATAGAGACAAACTCTTACGAGAAATATAGTTATCTAAAATAGCTGATTATTGAAAAAAAAAAACAAAATACCCGAGTGCGTGAAAGTATATGGGTATTTGTGTACTAAAAATAATAAAAAACGCCAATGTAGTCATAAAAAAGCATGCTATGATTAGGTACAATTAAATGTTATGGTAAATGTGTTATGTCGAGGAACTATCTAATGACGAATAATTATGGTTAACGGATTTATCAAAAGCTTTGCCTATGCAAGTCCTATACGTTTCGTCCCATGTGGGTCCGATCTCCATATGGGACGAAACGTCATAAATAAAAGTAATAAGCGGCGTGGCGACCGCTCAAACAACTACGATATCCGGGCAATGCACTATTACTTTACATGCTCTGACAGTGTGGTGACAAAATATTCCTTTCGATGAACTGTTTACACGTACTAATGAATTAAAGATATCAAAACGATATCCTTCATATGCAAGCATGCGCCACTCACAATGACTAGGATAATGTGAATTAAAACGATAAATGGTATGTACTTACATAGTACAACACAAACTATCAAAACACACAGAACTCCGGCAGCCAAATAACAGTTTGTGTGTACGAAGAAACAGAACATAGAAAGTATGAAGAACATCAATACAACAGTACTGCTGTAAATGATCGCACCCCATTGATATATCTCGATTAGTTTTGGTATGTTCTGTGGATGAAAAAAAATATATAAAAACACGGAGGCTATAAAGCACTCTTTCAAACAACGAATTAAACTCGTTGCATACAATCAACATTTATATGGCGACTTCCACATATGGCGAAACGAAGAAACATACTACAGCGCCATCTAACGTAGGAACACCCAAATACTCAGGTACTGCTAATCCTGTATCGCGGTATGATTAGCATATTTACAACTTTCCAACATCAACCGTTGGGCGGCGATCCGCTAGGCATTTTCACCTTGCCTGGTCCACCTGGACATGACACCCATTCCTCCACAGTTTAACTTTCCTTTGTATTTCCGCTTTAAAATTATAGAATACTTACACAACAAGCTCCTATCAGCAAGAGGATACTGACGCTACAAAGCATGATTGAAGCGAGACCCAAAACCATCTGCACTGTCATTTCTGTAACTGTACTGTAATTGGATAATACTGGGTTCATATCCCAGTAGCCGGGAGAGTGAGAAACATTTGGAGCGAACAGGATACCAATTATCTAAAAGAGAATTAGAGATTTTTTTAAATAACTTCTACGCGGCTAAAATAGAGATTTCAATAATTCGTTTAAGAGACTGGTGGTTGCAGAGTAAATCCATATGCAGACAGAGTACATGCTGGGGTCAATGACTGTATATTTTTTTAAATCATGTTTTATTTATTTGTATCAAATATCCATACATCCATCCTCACAAACCTTTCCGTCTATAATAATAATAATGAGATATATTATGCTTTATTATAGAACACTTTAAGCTTATCAGTTTGAGAAATGCAAAGTTACAAAAATCTGGCCTCGTTCATCGATGTTAAAAATCCATTCACCAGATGTTGGAGATCTTCTAAGACTAAATAGTACCTTTTAAGATAAATCACAATGAGTTCAAACACGATGGAAATATGTTGAGTAGATTAGGAGGTCTTATGGCCACATTCTGAATCATCATTGGATCCCCTCCATGATAGCATTTTATTTTCTTGTTAAAGACGTTGCATAAATATTCAAAATGAAACCCAATATATTGTCATAATGTGTGACAAAATCTTACAATAAATAAACTAATAAACCTGGCTTAAGGCTAATAAACCCTCTTTCTAAGGAGAAGCCTATGTCCATAAGTGGTCTACTGCTAAGGCTGTTAATGATGATGATGAATGAAGCTAGTTGATTAAACGTTTAAATGCCAGAATTGGAACCCTTCAATTAGATTTCATCAAAGTGTTAGGTACATAGAAGTTCCAACCATTACATTTTGTTGATTCAAGTTAGAACGGCTAAAGTACTTACAAATGAGAAAGTGGCTATCATTACAGTTCCAGCTCTCAAGAAACAGCAGAAGCAACAACTGATAACCGTTGGCAATTTGTCCATGAAATTCATTTTGGTGTATTTTTTTAGTTTACTGTTTTAAAATAAAAAAATACTGTCAATTTTTATTTGGAAAATACATGTATTTTGTACTCAATAGGAATTATTATATTTTTTAAAACTCCATAAAATTTTGACACGCTTTTGACGTGTTTCATCAAAAGCATGTAACTGAAAGTCTAGTGTTTGTATAGTCTTTGATGAATGTTACGAATGAGTTCTTAAGTAATAGCTATCATATGTCTATGGTATTAATTCCCTATGCCACCCTTATTTCAGCACATTAGTAGAACACAAAAAAAAAGAACATAACAGATTTTTCGCCTCAGCGGTGTCAAGGAGAATTTAGGTATTTTATGCTCTTCAAAGCGATTTAGAGAAGAATTCTACCACCTACTAAATAAACGAGCCACGGAAGGGTTTTAATGTTTTAAGAATGGTCTCCCATCTATAGACTGACCTGATTAGGATTGCTTAACTGTGCAATGTGCTTATCTACTTGAATACCACTAAGCCATGAGCCCCTCGCAATAATTCTAAGTACAGTTAAGGCAAGAGCACACTTTCCACCTCTGGAATCGACGCTCAGCTCCGCTTTGCAGCTCCTTGTAATCGCAACAATAATTCCAACCATTGCAGAGGTAGCGAGCTAGTTTTCAAGTAACGAGATTTTCTACGAACCAATGCCAGCAACTCCTTTACGTCGGCTAGAAAGAGGCAGGCCACCGACGTGATTAGTGAATGAATTACATCCAGCCACCTTACTGCGTATCGCAATGGTATTCTAATTCGGTTTTAGGAACTTACAGTAGCTGTTAAGAGTTTTGGTTTCCTGCTAGGCCGTGGTATCACTCAGGCCGAATCTCAGACCGAAGTGCTGAAACATGACTCTCCTACGTAAAAGTGTCTCAAGGCTCTTGTTGAGATTAAGAGGACAGAGTGTTGATAACAGCCCTTATCACACTCCCAAATATCGTGGCGTAATATTATTTATAGTTTTAAATTACTTAATAGCCCACATCCCACTGTGCTAGTGCTACAATCACGTAATTATAAAACTTCACATAAATACTATTTTAGACAAGTAATATTGAGAAAGTTGCATTGCCACTCTTCCGTTCCATTGTCCACATGTGCATTAAAGGTCTACAACAAACGGCAGACCATTATGAACACGGGACTTATTGCGTTCCTAAGACGAATATTATAAAAAAGGCGATCGCCAAGGGTCCACCATAGCAATTAAACCAGGCACATCTGCGAGACAGCAGACGAATAAGCGTGAAAAAAGCCCATAGATAGGAGTCCTTTTGGAAACGATAATGAAGAAGGAGAACAGGGCAGTTGGTCTTGAGGCGTAGGACAAGACAGTCGGTCTTGGGAGCTAGGAGGCTAGAAGGAGGTTGATCGTCAAAAGCTGAACGTGCTCGGTCGTGCTTAGCCGGAGGTCGTGGGTTCGATTACCACCCGGGACAAATATTGTGTGATGAGCACGGTCATGTGTTCCATGTCTGGGTGTAATTTATCAATAATATGTATGTATTTAGCTATATATATGTACGTTGGTTACCATAGTACAGGCTCTGCCATTTGGGACCAGACTGGCGTGTGTGAGATGTGTGAAGTTATTACTATTGTTATTAAGTTTTAAAAAAGTAGCAGCTTCTCCCTCTGGACCGCATCCAACGAAGAGCGACTCGAATCGTCGATAGCCCAGAAAACTCCGATCGGCTCGATCCCTTGGCGTTACGTAGAGATGTGGCTTAACTCTGCAGTCTCCATCGCATATATCATAGAGAGTGCTCCGAGGAATTCCTCTATGATCCGAATAATTGTTCGGACTAATACCAGCCGCAACTTTCCACCATCGTTCCACATGGAATTTTTTTTACCCTCATCACCTGGATAGTTAGCGCTCCACTTTCCATCAGATGACTCGTCTGCTCGTCTGTCCCTCTAACATAAAAAAAAATCGCATAAAGGCATAAAGAAACTGCCTGAGAGTCTTGCTTCGCAGCAATTGGCTCAAGTGATATCACGGCCCCATAGATAAAGGGTGTTAAATTACTTTTTAGGTGCTTTTTGCCAAGTAAGGGAGATTCATCGTTCGTCATCCGTGTGGTGACAGATTAAGAATGGGGAGTGTCACCACCCCTATTCATCCCGTTGGCGTCGTAAGAACCGACTAAGGGAGCAAACTACGCAGGACAACAGCACTGCAAAGAGAAGGAAAACTTGATACAAACCCTTTTTTTTTTTTTTGTTTTTTTTTTAACGTGTGGATATCCCCTCGGACCGTCACCCCTCCGGGGTTTGCGGCGGGGTGGTGTGTCGGACTCGGACCGACTAAAACCACACGGTGTGCCACTCTGCGCCTGTAACAGGAGGGATCCGGGAACAGCTGTTGTTAAGACATCCGGACCCCTCCTAGCGCCAGCCCGCTCCTGGTGCGGGCTCCGTCTCAATGTTTTTGTTCCTCTCTTTAGGCGACGTCCGGCACACGCGGACGCCGCCCCCTCGTGGCTGGCCAAACTAATGCGGGTGGAGGGGAAACCCACCCCGTCCACCCGCGGCCACACTCAGGGCGGCATGAGGCTGTGATAGGCGGGCCTCCGCCGCCCGGTTCGCCGGCGCCGGATCGGGTCCGAGTGGAGGTCGTCCTCCCGGGCCCTCTCCGCCGCCTCCTTCCGCGAGATTACTACCTCGCAGAAGGTTGCGACCGCGGTAAAACAACTGTCGCTACCGGCCATGGAGCGTACTACGGCCGGTAGCGAGAGATCCACTCCGATGACTGCAGTGAGGGCCCGGCGCTGCGCCGCCCATGCGGGGCAGACCGCCAGCGTGTGCTGGGCCGAGTCCTCACTGCAGTCGCAGTGGTGGCAGGCGGGACTCAGTTCCCTCCTAGCGACCGTGTGCAGGTACTTTCCGAAGCAACCGTGCCCGGAAAGCACCTGCGTCAGCCGGAAGGAAAGGGTCCCGTGCTGCCGCCCTGCCCACTCGGCGATGACCGGCTGGAGAGCCTCCACGGCGGCGAAGCCAGCGCGTGGAGTCTCCAGCCGGAACGACCAACGAGCCATCGTGGCTCGGCGAGCGGCTTCGCGCCACTCGCGCACATCCTCGGGTGGAGGGCGAAATCCGCTCTCCGCCCGGGAGTCAGCCACTCGCCGATAAACTTCGGCGAGCACTTCCGCCTCCAAATCCCACGGGGGAGTTCCGGCCAACGCGCATGCCACCTCCGTCGAAACGGTGCGGTAACCGCGTATGGCTCTGACCGCCATTACCCTTTGAGGGCGCCAGAGGCGTACCCTATTCTGGGCGGTCAGAGCCGCCGCCCACACCGGTGCACCGTACAGTGCCATTGACCGGACCACCCCCGTGTACAGCCGTCTTGTCGCGACGCTGGGTCCACCCATATTGGGCAAAAGTCGCCCTATCGCAGACGCAGCGCCGACCAGCTTTGGAGCAAGCTGTCGGAAGTGCTCGTCGAAGAGCCACCTCCCGTCGAGGATCAGGCCCAGATATTTCATCTGGGCCCGAACCGGTACGAGGACCGAGTTGACCACGATTGAGGCGCCAGGGGGTGGACCACGACGGGGCCCATGAAATAACAGGGCCTCCGTCTTATCCAGGGCCACCCGTAAGCCCAGCGCCTCAATGCGCCCGACCACCAGGGAGACTCCCCCTGTGGCCAGGCGCGCCGCCTCTTGGAAGTTTGCCCCCCGGGCTGTCACCAAGGTATCGTCTGCGTAACAGATTACACCCAGGCTGGGGGGGGAAATCGGCGCGAAGGGCCCAGTCGTACCCTATGTTCCACAAGAGGGGTCCAAGAACAGACCCCTGTGGAACACCGCACGACATGGGCCGACACCTCAAATTACCTTCTCGGTCCTCGTACACGACGGTACGCTCCTCTAAATAGTCTGCCACTAGCCGCCTTAGGTACTTTGGCACCCCATGATAGTGGAGTGCTTCCCTGATGCAGCTGAATGGCAGACTATTGAATGCGTTGGCGATGTCTAATGACGACCGAACCCTATACCAACCCTGTCTGGCCAGCATGGTATAACAGGCCAAAACCTCCTTTCTAAGGAGAAGCCGATGTCCTGCAGAGGACTATTAAAGGCTGTTGATGTGCAGCGAGATGCCCTCAACACCCCTCCTCTCTGATGCCAGAAGGAACTCAAAGGGCGCCAATGCCCTTGTGTCTCTTAAGTTACAGGAGTCCATAGACAGCGGTAGCCACTCTACAGTTTCCTAGGTAATTATTTATATAACAAACTCCATTCTGTATTTAATTTATATCCTTTAACCAGAGTTAAATGTAAGCAAGTACTTACTTCACATCTTTTGGAATACAACTACGACTCTACTGAAAAATTACTAACTATGACAAAATCAAACCTAAGCTCTTAAAGTAATTTACGCACACACACAGACGCAAACATACACACACCCATACACACACGCACACGCACACACACACACACACACACACACACACACACACACACACACGGACGCGTATACTCATAAAAATGAAACTAATGACTATAAATGTTTGACTGCACGGATGGCGTAGTGGTTGAAGCGGTCGCCACGCCGCTTCCTACTACGTCGAGTGTTGTGGGTTCAAACCCCACATGGGACGACAGTTTGTGTGATCCACAAATTGTTGTTCTGAGTCTGGGTGTTCTTTGTGTCCGTTTCATGTATGTTTGTAAAGTCCCCCGCGACACAGGATATATTCCTAATGCGTAGGTTGTCTTTTTAATCAAAAAAAAAATTTGCAAGATGTTTGTATTTTTTTTTTTTCTTTTGCCAATAACTAGACATAAGCATGATACAAACTTTGTACTATAGAGGGCCTGTCAATCTGTGTGACAGGGTTCTTGAGCAATTACTGTAATAAGCTAGTATAAGTAATCTTTGTGGAAGACAAAATAAACTTGGCATCAGGTGACCGGTCTGCATGTTTGCTCTGTATGACTGTATTCACATTATTAACGGGTGCT